TTGTTATGCCATTTTATCATATCACGGGGAGCGCCCTTGGGTATGCACTTGGAAGCGAATCCCGTGTTCTGGTTGGCTACCCAAGCGGGAAAGGTGGGCCTTTCTTGCCCGTTCGGGATTGCCCACTTTGATCCCGCGCAAGAAATAAAGTTACTCGGAGCAGACTAATAAGGTTCCTAATTTTTGGAAAATGACGGCGATGGAGTCGCAAAAATCGGCAGGTCAAATCGGCAATCGGATAGTGCAGTTAAATCAGAGAAATATAAACGACTCTTGTGGGTTTCTTGTGTTACAAACACAATGGCTTTCTTTCCAGGCTCTCGAAATAAACAAGTCATTTTTGATTCTTAATAAACCGAAATTGTTTTTCTTAATAGTAAATACTTTATTGACCAAACTTGGTGGGTCAAGACGGCTGGATAATGGACTTGTACTTTTTCCCGTTTTTAAGGACCTCGACTTCGTCTCGATCCATTGCAACGGGAAAAAAGAACTCGGCCAATTTGACCTCACGCTCGATCAATGAGGCAAATATGTATCATAATGAGACATTCTCTCTTCATCTACTATAAGTCACTTCTAAGCACGATCACGATTTTTCATGACTGTGATCCAGATTTCAGCACTCAGAAAGATAAATAATCCTAAAGTTTCACAATTTTGATTGTTTTCTGTCTGTTCAGGTAGATAAAAAAAAAAAAAAAAAAAAAAGAGTGAACCTATGCGATTTCTCAGCCCCAATCCCTCCGCCTCCATCACCTTTTCCAATTGCACACACATTATTCAACGTTACATAACATTATGAAGGCAAATAAGGGGGAGGGTCGTTCAGGATGAACTTAAGCCTTAATAGAGATCGTTCATTTTAAGCCTTGTTTCCATATTATCGATTGCCCCAGTCGTTCTAATTTTCGAAACAATTTGCCCAGTTAATTTTCTCGGGCCGAAATTTTTATGTGTTCTAAGGAACAACCAGACCTTTTTTCGGGCGCTCTTCGTGACGGTTTCTGAACCCGTTAAATCTTCGGGTGTTTTGAGAAACGCATGCACAATAAAATAATTTTCTTATTCTGTCATGTAGGAGGAGATTATATTGCACTGACCGTTCAAAACGAAAGGCTCCGTAACTGAGTTGGATAACTGACAAGGGCTTTACGAAACCAGCTTAGTAAAAAAACATCTCGCTGTTATGCAATATCATTTTCCAGCTGCCTTGTTTTTTTCTTCAAGTTCCTCAACAAACGCCTATTTTCTCAGCTTTTACCAGTTACAAACCTTATGTCGATCAGTTTTCTTAACAGATAGTTTTCGTGCAGAAATCGAATAGCCTTGGAGAAATCTTTTATCTCTTTGTTTCCTAAGCTCAAGGGAAGCTAGATTGGGCAGCAAATGGAGTTGAACAAACAGACATCCGGCATTTTCGTGGTTAAATTGTTCCGAAAAAGTCTATTGAAAACTTTGATCCGCGGATGTGCATTTCGTTTGATGATGTCCCGTCGAAAAACGAAAAAACCGCACACATAATCGTCTTCTTATATAATTTGTGTTAGAGGAATTCTTTCAAACGCTTTTCATACGAATATGAGAAAGGACACAGTTGATGGCCTAACTTCTAGTTAACCCTTTTACACACTAACATCAGTATGCATATTCTCCATACCAGTTTCTATACATTTACTAAGATGTTAACGAGAAGAATTTATTTAACAATCCAGAGCTTATTTAGTTGGTGATCATTTCCTTTATTCTCATGACCTTAGTGTATTATTCAGGGATGATATTGTAGGGAGAAGTTAGATGCTAGTCACTCTTAGAGGTCAAATAGTTAATTAACCAAAGTTTATGTTTTAATGATTTTTCGTGTCATTCTCGATCGATAGCTTAGGAAAGCGATGTGCTTTTATTCACTAACATGCGCAAGAACAACTGGGCACTAGCGGAAAGTTATTTGCATGAGAACAAAGTCAGGAAGTATCACGTATAGGCAAAGCCAATATTGGTAAGTAGCCGTTGGTAGTCCAGGGAATGCATCCATTGCCAAAGAAATGGAAGGAAAATTACAAACAGTGATACGGACAAATAGTGGCTGATGACTAACGACTCTGTGTATGACGAACTTCATGATGCTTTCCTTCATTTTCAAATTTATGTCCAGGTTCTTGCTTATTAGAGGATTTAAATATTTGCCTTTCAAACTGTTCAGCTTGTAAATTGTTTTTCCGTAGTAACATTTGAATAAACGCAGCGCGAAACTGTCTCAGTCTTACACAGTAAATGATAGGGTTGATGAGCGAATTGAGAATTGCAATGCAGGTTACAAAGTTTAAGCTGATATTAGCTAAATTTACACTGGTTATGGCAGAGGTTAACAAAAGTAAACAAACAATAAAAATTGGCAAATAACTCAAAACGAGAAAAAAAATGACGCAAGTTGTGAGCGTCAAGGCTTTCTTTTCTTTCCTAAATTTCTCTCTGGCCTCCGCTGAGATTTGATTAGTGGCAATATGCCTCTCATGCCGACGGGTCTCTTTGTAAACCACAACCTGGCAGAAAATGATTAGTGCCGCAAACACGCCCAATAAAGCATTATTGATAGTCAAGTAGAATCTCATACTGGTGATCGTAAATGGAATTGTCGCCATCACTGCTATAAGCCACGCTAGAACGGACGCTTTAAGTATACGAGCTTTATTAAGCATGCGCGGGTACTTAAATGGATGATTTATGGCGAGGTAGCGTTCGAAGCTCATCAGGAACAAATGTAGTACAGACGAACCAGCCAGGAGTCTGAAGACGTTTCTTGATGAGTGAAGCAGTTTACAGTATTCGTCTGATGTGTCACCAAGAAGACCCAATATTCTGATGGCGATGTACAGAGGCTGAGCTACCACTCCTACAGAGGCATCAGTAACCGCTAAACAGGCGAGTACGATGTTGGAGTTTGTCTTCAAATGCGACTTAGTTTTCACGACAGCGATCACCAGAATATTCAACAAAATTGTGAAAGGACACGTAGCTATGGCTAACACGATCAGGAAAGAGACAGTTACGTATGTTATTGTGTTTGTGTGGTCAATATTTCCTTGCAGAATATTCGACAAACCACATTCAGTTCCCATGAGTGCAGACTCGGTAGATGAAGGAATACTTAAATTCATGATGGTTTTCGCCTTACATTTAACGTTTTCCCTCAATACAGTTGTAAATGACAACTGACCAACACCACATTTTGACCTTTAAATGGATGTTGTTCCTACACTAATGAAAAATATATCAATATGTCTGGCTTCTCTCTACTCTAATTAACACATTTGTTGTCTTATTTTTCATGTTTACGAGCTGAATCAGAATAGCTACAAAGATTTCTTTGATTTCTTTGTTCGGTTGAGGTCTATAGGTAAAAACGTTTTTGACAAACACGTAATGGGAAGCACGCCACAGACATAAGGTGTGTTCCCACGCCTATTTCGGTCGGGGAAAGCTTCGAAACACTTTTAACTTGGAAAATATACCCTAACCCTAACCATACCACTTGATATGGTCTTATCCACGAGCAAGAAAAAAAACGTTCGTGAAAAACAATAATTGAAAAATACATACAAACATATATCCTTACGTGTGTGATCGTATAAAAAAATGATAATGACAAAAGAGCATATGGCTCTTTTTGGAATAATACACACAGTTCATGCCTCATTCTCCTCGCTGATGTTTCTCATGGTACGCAATAGTTTGATCCGCGACACGTGCAACAAACACATCCCGAGTTCAACTGTGTTACAGTCGAGATCTAAAGAGAAATCTTTATCCTTGACTGTTATGAATTTCTTGTAATTTTAGCTGTAAGAGTTTGCAACTAATCTTTAATGAAATACATATAACATTATATCCCTAACGTCTTTCAGAATATTATTTCCTCGCATTACTTTTCTGCTTTAATCCTTTCTCCCCTAAGAGTGACCAGCAACTAAAATCTCCTTACAGTATCACACCTGAATCAAAAGTTAAGGTCATGAGAATTGTGGGAATGATCCACAATTACAGAAGCCCGCGACTGTCAAGCAACTTCTCCTTGTCAGCGCCTTAAGAAATGTACAGAGAACAGTATGGAGAATATGCATACTGATGTTAGGGTGTAAAGAGTTAAAATGTTTAGATTTCAGTAGGAGAAATTTCTTTCTGTGGTAGTTTGCGAGTGGAAGGATTGACAAAATCATAAAAATGATCAGGAACGATCTTTTTTTTTATATTTAGCGGAACAAAAATTGAAAAATGTAGCATAAAACGATATGGCTTATTATCGATGAATACTTAAAAAAAATTACACTATCCACCCCTAGTATTGGCAAATAGTGTTATAAAAGTACTATAAAGTCGCATAAATAGAATTAATCGGCAAGTGGGACAAGAATAAGACATTGGAATATAGATTTCGTTTTTTAATATTTGTAATCACTAAAAATTTCTAAACAATACCTGAGACTCCAAGAGGTTTAAAATAATTTTTCTGTGGAAATTCTGTTCGACTGTCGGGCATATAGCCAGAGGATAGTTTTAAATGCTATTTGATTTTTGTTTGACTTTTTCCTCCTTTTCGATATTTGGGTTTTCCTACGGCGTCCTCGCAATTGGGTGTAAATACAATGTTTCCTGAAACTATCACTTTGCGCTGGTTGAGCAAAGTTAGATTGAGTTGTAAAACGTACAGTCAGAAAAAAGTAAGTGTCATAAAGAACCAATGAGATCTCACAGTGAAGAAAAATAATTTTCTATTGCGTGAAGCGCCAAGGAAAGAAAAGGAATGACGTTTGGCGCAATTGCTTAAGTTTTGCGTTCGACTGGTTGAAAGAATGGCGCGAGATTTCTAAGCCAATTACAGGGCATAGTGAAAAAAGAGTGAGAAAGAGAAACGGAATAAAAAAAAAAAAAAAAAAAAAAATAACAGAGACACTGAATGTGGATAACAAACCTCTCATCATAATTTACGTTGATATCGTTCGCTCCGCTTTTTACACAAGTCTATTTGTACTCACATACACTATAAACTATACAGGTTCCTGTGAACAATTATTGAAAACTTCTCCAAAAAACCCTCTAGAAATACAATCCGCAGTTATCATTCGTTTCAGACACAATCTCGATGTAATATTCCAGCTCTGTGGTTGTGGCAAACTTGGGCTTTTTGTATCCGTTCGAACGCGAGTTCTGCTGTTGATTAGGCCGAAATGCGTCACACAAAATACGATACTGTTGCCATGGTGGAATCACAGCGGTTACATTTCTCTTCTGTCGGTTTTGAGAACTCGCCAACTCGGAACATTTCAGATGCGGAAATCTGGATTGAAACGGGGCAAGAAAGTGAGGGCTGTGCTTCGAATCTTTGTGAGCAGTTCTTTCCACAGACGATGGATTATTTCCACTGTTTGCATCAAGTTCCTCTTGACTTTCAAAAACCAGAGTGCGAACGGAAGATCTTCTAGAAATGTCAAGCTCCGGCGTTGTCATGGGGGGATGTGGTGAAATATCGCTAACTGCACTGTCAGAGCTGTGCATGAGGTGAACACCTGGCGATTCAACAATGCTGATATCTTCCTCAAGCTTAACAGAAGGCACTTCACCGCTCCCTCTACGGCTCTCACATTCACGAGGCGCCAATCTCTCTACTCCATTGCCAAAAGTCAGTTTGGAATAATCTCCTGAACCTCCTTTGGAATCGTTCGCTTTTAATTTTGCTTCGGAACAGTTCAACACGCTACTCAAGTTAGACTGCTTAGTTTTAGAGACGTTAACATCACGTCTTGGTGAGAGTACAGAATCCTTTTTGGACTCCATAGCTACCGCCGTTGATGTAGGTTTACGAGGCGTTTTCAAATTTCTTGCATTTGAACCAAGGCCGTTCCATCGCCTTAGAGGCCAACATTCGGTTTTCACCGAAGCTTGACCATAAACTCCTTGAACTTCTTTCTCCTCTCCAACTTTATCTCCGTTTTTCGCAGAGAGGTACAAAACTTTATACCCCGAGTTCAATCTTTCCATATCGTTTCGATAGTGGTGAAAATTCTGAAGATGCTCATAACATTTGGGTACGAGACTCTGAACAAGTTCATGGCGTTTCTGGGCATCCAAAGCGTAACTATTTCTGCTGTTAACTCGAAAACTGATGGGTGTTAGTGAATTGCGTCTGGTAACCAAATCGTCCTCGCCAATTGTTGGCTCTGAACGAAAGGAAATTGTCCGAAAGGCATCTTTCACTTTTCCCACCAGCGCTCGCTGTCTGTGATTGTCGACCTCCGCAAAATCACGTTTATGCGTTGTCACAGGGCCCCGACTTACTCCAAAGGGACACTCGTTTTTCACGTAACATTTTCGTACGTTATTTTTTGACTTCTGTTCCCGGGAAGAACGTGTCGCCATCATAACATCTTCCAAATATTAATGTACACACTATAACATAGTTTACTGTAGCAACGAAAGAATTGTGTAAATTAGTGATTGAAGCCTGGAACGATTTCATTAAGCAAACAGAGGATAATTAAATCTTTTTATGAAGTTTGTTTGACAAGGGAAAATCGCAGATTAGAGGGATCAGTGTCTGGTTTTATTAAGACTTAGCACTTGACGTACACGCGATCGTTAAGGAAGTGAGAAGTCACTGGATAAGATTAAAGGGGATAAGTTTCTAAAGAAACTGTGGTCTGCGTCGTAGGGGGTATAAAAAGACGAGTTGGTTTTATCAACTGCGTTAATGAAATGCAAATTGGCCACTGTAAAGAGTTTCTAAAGCTCATACTTAAAGCGTTTGTCTTCTCAAAGCGAAGGACGAAAGGGTAACGCTCGAAACATCAGCTATAGAATTTGGTGACGATGGCCAATTTACATTATCAATGTAGATAAAAATTGATCCGTTCCGGTTTGACACATCATCAATCTCCTGATGTAATCGACTTAGACCACGGATATTTTAGTAGCATTACACAATGTCAGAATGTTGTCACTCACTTTTGCACAAACCAAAAATATAGTTGACATTTTGCGGTTTCTGATGACGTGAGCGCCGTCACGCTAGCACGAGTCCAAGTCGATTGCATCCGCACACTAACGTGTTGAAATCACAGTCGGTTCGTCAACTACGAGACAAATCGATCCCGTCCGGAGAAGGATGATGTGGTGAATTCACAGTCGGTAGATTAAATACGGAGAAAGACAATGTGCTTAAGTGACCGTCGGTTCGTCAACCTTAAGGTTAAGTCGACAACATCCGGAGATTAACGATGTGTTGAAATCGCCGTCGGTTCGTTAACGATCACCTCATAACGGACTCATCGTCAAATCGTGAACAAAAAAGGTCTTCACTGACACCTTCCTCTTGAGATACAATACATAGTTCAAATAAAAAGAAAAGGAGCTAAGCAAGCGTCGAGTTTCCTTTTTTTTTCGGATAAATCAATCATTCAGTATCACGACCGAGTCAAATATTGAGGTCACGTGAATAAAGGATTTGGTCATCAACTCAAGTATCATCGGAAAAGTATACAAAACAGTGAAAAGATGCACCCTCAGACTGAGTTAAAATGTAAGTGGTTATGGACCGATTAATTCAAAGCTCCAACATCCTCCCGGGTATTTGACCGTTGTCCCCTGCCCGAGGAGTGGGGGAACTTGAATGTGGCAAGTCTATCCTACGGAATGCGATTGTTGTATATTTAAATATGGAGGTGTCTAAGGTGATAATAAAAAGTTCAGTTTCGCGAGCGAATAGCATGGCGTAGCTTTTAAAGCTTGTCAGTGTGTGGAAAGTCACGGTCGCTTTTTCTTGCGCTTCACATAAAAAATCGAGTGGGGCATTTGAACACAGTTGTTGCCCGGAGGTGGGCACTTAAACAAACCAGTATGCCCAGGAGTTACCCGCGGTGTGGGGCTAGAGTTATTGAAGCTTCGAATTGATCGACGTATTACATTTAAATTCCCTTGAGCGGTAGTCAGCGATTGTACTAATGGAGTCAGTCGGTGTTCACTTTCAAATTAGTTGGGCTGTGTAAGATAGTCGATTTGTTTTCTTTATTTTTTCTTTTGGGAGGGGGAATTTGGAATAGTTTCTTTGGAATAGCTTTTGCAAGGGTTTCAATAATAAGCGGCTGCCGATGGTGTAATAGGCGGCTGTGCTTACTAAAAAGGCAGTATTAACCCTTTAAAACCTAAGAGTGACTAGCATCTGATTTCTCCCTACAATATCAGTCCTGAATCACACATTAAGGTCAAGAGATTAGAGGAAACGGTCACCAGGGAAGGAACCTTCCTGATTACCAAACAAATTATCTTTATCAGCACCTTAGGTAATGTGTAAAGAATAGTGTGGAAAATATGCATACTGGTGTCAGGGTGTTAAGGGTTATACGGCGAGACCCGAACAAGAAAGCCTGCTCGCAGGCTCAACAGACGTCAATAAGAGTTCTTATAGGCTGGCGGCTGACCGCTGTAATCGTCGTTTAATAAAACCCTACTTCTTGCAAGATAAAACATAACGTGTAAAATGTTCAGTTATTTGTCACCAGAGCTAAGCTTTTCACGAGTTAACAATAGGAACTTTTCAATAACTAAGAACAAAACTAGATTCTGCAAATTCGTGAGTGCCATTACTTTGTTGAATCAAACTAGGAAAACAGTCGAGTGCTTTAGTTAACAACAAAAAAAGAAATCAGTTCTGCCATCGCTTCTGTAAGACGAAATTTTTAAAAGTCATGAACTATCAGCAGCGTTCTATTACTAGAACATTGTTGAGTGATCAACAATGAGTTATTGTATGTCTGCTACGAAAGGAGTACAAAGAAAACGCAATAGCATGCACTTAACCCTATAACTCTTTAGAGTGACTGGTTTCTAATTTCTCTTTACAATATCACCCTTGAATCAAATGTAAAGAACGTGAGATTAAAGGAAATAATCACCAATGTAAGAAGCTATCCCGACTGTTAAACATATTCTCCGCGTCAGTATCAAAAGAATTGTAAAGAGAACAGAATAATATTGTGGTTTTAAGGGATACAGGAGCACAAGAAGCTCAAGAATAGGTCACACACAGGTTTGCTGCTCTATAAAATCAAGTACCCATTTTCTACCACCTGCATCTCACTAAGAAAATACTTCACTTTCTCTAAAAACTCTTTGTCACCTTGGCTCGGTGCTATACCCTTAACACGCTACACGTGTCCATAATTTAAGATTTCGGAGACTGACGTTTCACGGGCGTGCTGTTGTTTCGGTGTCTCGTATCCTGCTCTTATTTCCCTTCGTTCTGTCCGCCCCTTTTGGATTGGGATCTTGGTCTTCTCCGTCCCTGCTTTGTAGGTTTAACTTTATTAGAATCCTCGGGGGGACTAGTAGCCTTTTCTGCTCTTGCACTCTTACCACGTTCTTGATGGGTTTCCTGTGGTGCTCTCTTTTCAGGGTCCTTCTTGCTTGTAGGTGACTCTTTGAGTTTATTCTTACCTGGTGTGGACTCGGCACCACGGCGAGAACTATCCCTAGAGGATGCACTCGGTTTTTCTTCGGAGCGTTCAGATTTAGGTTTTTTAGACATGGACATTTGATTTGACTCAGCACCATGGCGATAAGTGTCTTTTGAAGATTCAGAAGGTTTCGATTCGGAGCACTCAGATCCAGACTTCTTGGGTGCAGAACTTTTATTTGACTCGGCACCCTGGCGAGGGCTGTTCTTTAAAGATTCACTCGGTTTCACTTTGGAGCGCTCAGATCCAGGCTTTTTGGGTGTAGAACTTTTATTTGACTCAGCAGCACGGGGAGAAGGGTCCTTTGAAGATTGAGTCGGTTTTTCTTCGGAGCGTTCCGATCTAGGCTTTATAGGCGTCGAAATTTGATTTGACTCAGCACCACGGGGAGAAGGGTCTTTTGAAGATTGAGTCGGTTTTTCTTCGGAGCGTTCAGGTCTAGGCTTTTTAGGCGTCGAAATTTGATTTGAATCGGCACCTCGGCGTGAAGTGTCTCTTGAAGAGTCAGTCGGTTTTACTTTGGAGCGTTCAGATCCTGGCCTTTTGGGGGTAGAACTTTTATTTGACTCGGCACCATGGCCAGGACTTTCTCTAGAGCATTCATTCGGTTTTTCTTCGGAGCGTTCAGGTCCAGGCCTTTTGGGTGAAGATGAAGGAGGAGCCTTTGAAGCGTCAACTTTGGATTCGACGCGATTTTTCTGGCGTTGATTTTGCCCTTGAGTATTCTTTGTTTCTTTTGTGCCATCATCTACGGTTTTCTCTTGATTGTTTGAAGAACTCTCTGTAGCTTCGTTTTGTCTTGGTGTCTTAGCCTTCCTTCCACGACCGCTCCGCCTATTGTTCTTTTTCCTGGGAGCTTCTTCTAGCGCAGCGGAAGCTGCAGTATTCTGTTCTTGTTCCTCAGCTCTCTTTCGCTCTCCATTGTCAACTACAGTCGCATTTGCCTCCGATTTATCTTTCAAAGTCACCTCACAGGTGGATGAATCTTGTTCCTCCATGTTCACCTTTCTCGAAACCACTACATCACGTCCTTGAGTCGACGGAGCCGGTACACATCGCTTTTCCAAAACGCTTTCCTTAGTTTTGACTACATCCACTGTCATTCCTTCATCCTCTTTTTTAATCGAGTTCTCGTTAACAGGTGAACATATTTCGTCTTTTATCATTGCCTCGGTGTCTTGGAGAGGAGGAACCGCATCATTTGAATCTTGAACTTCAGTATGCCCATTGGGATTCATTTCCTTGACTATTTCTGGACCAGGGCTACTGCTTTGCAATTCAGCTGCAACATTGCCTTCCCATAGGCTCTTCACTTTGTTCAGATCGGATAGCAACTTGTGCTCTTCTGGGGTATTGGCGGCTTTCAAATTCTTTGGAGCAATATGTAGTTCCTTAGACTGACATAAAATGGGAAATATGTGTTAGAAATATAAGAAAAGGGGAGGTGATAATTGCACGAATATAATAGGCTGCGGAAGTAGAGATCAATAAGGATCTTCAACCCGCACTGCCGCCACCTTTAAATACGTTGTGAACTGAGACTTGTGAAGCCTAAAACTACTTATTTGCGACTAGAACGTCCAATCAACATTAAAGTCCAAACAACAAGAAGACGTTTCTCAGAATTTTTTTCGCAAACTATCGAACGCAAAAGTGTAAATCACAACCAAAATCCGACTTAACCCTATATGAACATGGAAAAGATCCAAAAAAGCAATTTGCAATCGTTTTGCAGTTATATAAGCATTACTCGATGCGAATCACAATGGAATATAATATATTTTAAGAGAAGTCTATAAATCATTTGAAGTCAGAACAAAGAATCTCGAAGCAACAAGTAAGATCACTAAGTATATACCTGAAACTCATCATTTGCAGGGGGATTCGTAGGGAGAATGTCTTCCTTCTTTTCCTCTACTTCAGCGGCCCGGAAGAGGCCGATGAACTGT